GGTTGTGGAATATAGCCAACTGGTTCAGCATTCTTCTCTGGGGGCTCGTAGGCTGAGAGGGGAGCGGGGAAGCAGGGATAGCTGGAGGGGGAGCCGGCGCCGCAGGCGGAGAGGAGTGGCTGGGGGTTCGAGATGGACACCAAGGCCGGTGGGGCCTTTGCCGGGAGTGTGGGGGTCGCCTTTGGTGCTTTCGCTTGCAATCGAAGTAAAGGGGCAGGGAGGGGTAGGCGGAGGCTCAAAGCCGGCGGCTTTGGTGCGGGTGCGGCTGGGGAAGAGGGATCTCCTGCGGTATTGTTGGCTTGGGGGGCGGAGGAGGATGAGGCACAGGGGCAGTGGCTGTCCAGGCTCCTTGTGCTGATGCTTCTGCGTGACAAAGTGGTTCTTGATGCCATGGCGTGTGCTGAACTGAACACGGCGGTTATGCTTCCGACAGTGGAGGCAACATAAAAACATTGGATCCTGAAACTTCCATTTGTCCTAGTCCGCGAGGAATAAGTTCCAGCACATCCTGCTCCGTGAGATCTTGATTGTAGTGGTGGGTGTCGCGGACAGTGGCCATAATCTCCGCAAAGGAGTTGTTCTGGATGCTGTCGGCCACGTACGTTTCGATCTCCTCCTGTGTGGGAGGAGGAGGAGCCTCAGTCGCCGTAGCCGTGGTCTGTGACCTAGGCGGCTGAGTTGAGCTGTGCTCTATGGGCCTAGTGTCAACCTGGATTTCCAGAGAAATGTCTGGAACTTGGCTCTGCAGCATGCGATTCGTTCGCTCCTTTGTGGTGGGATCTCCCTGGAATCCCTTCTGCCATTTCCAGCATCTGGTGTAGGCGACCGTGGTGTTATTGGCTGACACGAAGAAATGGCCGTCGTTGTCATAGATTTTGTTCTTCACGCGCCTATCCCAGCACTCCTGCAGCAAGTAGACGGGACCAAACTTGGCGGAGACGTTCCAGCCAGGTTGAGGGGAATGGCCAAGATCCCGGCCCAAGGTCTGCCAGAGAAATTTGCAGAAAGTCATATAGTCCAGATTGGCCTTTGCCGTCAGAACTTGACGGCTGACAGCGTGCTGTATGGCCTCCCTCATCAGAGGGTGTCGGGGTTTGCCATAGATGACGCCCTGAAAGATAGGATCTGCTTTGACTCCTATGGCCATGACCATGAACTCCTGTGGGAGTTGGCCAGGTGGGGAGGGTCTGTGACCCACTTCTGTGCTCCAATCTGCTGGCATGAGGTGCAGTACCTGCTCCCAAGGTACCACAAAGCCACATTTAATATCCACATAGAGGCCTCCGTGTTGGTAGTGGTAAACGTAGCGGAAGACGTCAGCCCGATGAGCTGGCTGATTGAGGCGGTCCAGCAGATTGGAGCCGTATTTCCCTGCAAGTTGCACCAGCGTGGCCCGGAGAACTCCGTCATCACAAAATTCGCGGGTAAAGCCCGCGAACATCTTGGCCGCAACTTGCGCAGGCTCCGGCTTTTCGTCGTGAACGTAGGTCTGAAATAAAAGCGGCGGGACAGGAGCTGCCTCCCACTCCGGGAGATGCAGAAAGCGCATGCCCCAGGGCCCATGTCCGTACTGCATGGCCACTTCAGAGAGGTCGCGCACAGTGCGGCACTGGGACAGTGCCTGGGCTGCCAGCATTTCGAAATGCATGTCTTGCTGGCGAGCATTCCATCCTGCAATCACAAGGATGGGCAAGCCTGGTCTGTTGCGCATTTCCTCGATGGCTCTGGTGACGAGCGCCGGGATAACGATGTCTGCAACCTCTGGTCTAAAATGGAGGTTTCTGGTGTTGCAGAGTTGCTCCACGCCACCTACTCCAGGTAGAAGTGCCAAATCCATGATTTCCTGATTATGCAGGTTTTTGTCCGCAAAGCCGTACTGGACTCTACCGTCTATCAGGTAATCATAATTGACTTGCTTCTCAGGGCGCAAGCTTCGAGACAAGGGAATGAAGCGTACGTTGATTTGCCCGTTGAGGTGGTGCTCCAAAATGGAGGCCACCTCCTGACTCTGGACCGCGGCTTTGAAACGGAGCGGCCCAAAGAGCCCAAATTGCCAGTGAAGTAGTTCCATGATGGAGGGGACGCTGCTTGCCGAGATGTTGAGGGCGGTGCCTGGACAACTTAAGACCTGTCCCGTCAGCAGGGGGAATACTCCATATGTGTGTCCCCGTAGCATGTGCTGCAAGGTGCTGTCGCTAAGCACCAGAAACGGCCCCAAACTAGGAGGGGCGTCCATGGTCGCAGCTGGAGAGCTGCTGGGCCAGAGTCTGTGACACGCGGCCAAAGGTGAGCTGTGCTCTCTGCTGAAGTTACCGATTCTGTTCAGGAACACGTCTTACTCCTTCTGCAAGCTGTCATGTCTGAAGAAGAAGTGATCCTAGAGAGGAAATTCAAGAGTTTATGCCGACGGGTGCAAGCAGTTGCTTCTGACAGCTGCGGTGTACAGATACAGCATTGCTGATGACACATGACTAGCTGGCAAGCAAGGGGCTTCACTGCCTGTCTAACAAACAAGCAACAACAGCAGAGGGCACTCGAGCAAGCGATGCAAGTGCCGTGACGTGTCGCCATGGACCTCAGGATGCAAAAGGAAACTGATTTGGAGCAGCCAGTGCAGTCAGGTGCTTCAAATTTTCTCGTGGCAGGCGGGTAGCCTTACACTGTTGGTGCAAAAGCGAGACGAGTGGCTGTGCCACACCTGAAAGCAGGCTGTGCCATATTCCTAACTTGAGATACATGACTTTAGCCATCGGCCGCGAGCAATCTCAGGGGAGATAGCCGTAGTTGTGGGCAGAATGAGCCCAGGGAACTTCGTCGTCCCTGCCTGCTGCATCAGCATACCCGAAGGGGCCGAGGGGGTTGAGAATCGTCTGTACCACGACATGATGGCGATGCTGGATATGGATGATGATCTCCTCAGTTGCGAGGTACCGCTGGGGTGTGTCAAAGGACTGTACCATGGCTTGTATTTCAAGAGTCATTGCTGCCCTGGCCGTGCGCCAGCTGTTGACAAAGGGTTTGTACTGGACCAGGGGGAGTACGGCACGGTACCAAGCTCTGCTGACGGTCGCCATGGACATGGCCATCAGTAAGTCGGGATGTAATATCGCGAGCCTGACATGAGCTCCTTGCCGGTCGTAGTCTACGTCTATGTATCTTTGTTCGAAAATTGCAAAGCCGTCGTAGGGACGGCTGTGGGCCCAGAGGCCAGCTTGCGCTTGGATCTCGTCCCTGAGCTGGAGGACGGGGAGCAAAGTGCTGGACGGCACGTGTGTGGTGGGGTCAATCTCCAGCATCTCCCTGTCTAGTCCAGCCGCTGAGTAGAAGTCCACGATGACAGCGCCGGGAAGGATAAAGGAGAGGGCGCGGCGACATGATTCGGTGCAAAGTACTGCAGTCATCTGGGTAGGCTCTAGCTGAACTGCTAACCCAAAGAGACTGCAAGAGAATTCGCCAATAGTTAGCTGGCACTTTCGGTCCTATGCGCTTTTTGGATGCGACGCAGGTACTTCACATGGTCTGTGACCATGGGGAAGGAGGCTGTGCCATCTTGCCTAGAGTGGACTCCGCAGAACAAAAGTCGGAATAGAGTCAGCCTGATCATAGTGAATGCTCAGGGCCTCACGCGAAAGGATGCCGATTTGATCAGGCCGAACTTCAATGAAGACTCCTGTGCCTATCTTGCGAAGGTGGACGTATGCTCGCCACACCCCAATCCAGGGCTTGCCTTCTAGAAGACGAGCAATTTCGGCGCACCACGCCCGGCAGACCGCCGCAAGCACTACTACTACTACTACTACTACTACTACTACTACTACTACTACTACTACTACTACTACTACTACTACTACTACTACTACTACTACTACTACTATCTACTACTATCTACTACTATCTACTACTATCTACTACTATCTACTACTACTACTACTACTACTACTACTACTACTACTACTACTACTACTACTACTACTACTACTACTACTACTACTACTACTACTACTACTACTACTACTTACTACTCCTCCTCCTGCTGCTGCTGCTGCTGCCTACTACCGCTAGTACTACTGCTACTGCTACTGCTACTGCTCCTGCTACTGCTACTGCCACTGCTGCTACTACTGCTGAAGCTACTACTACTACTACTACTACTACTACTACTACTACTTCTACTTACTACTATTACTACTTCTCCCACTACTACCACTACTACTACCACTACTACTACTACTACTACTACTACTACTACTCCTGCTCCAACTGAAGCTGCTGCTCCAGCTGCTCCTGCGCCTGCGCCTGCTTCTGCCACTGTGCTACAGCTACTGCTACTCCTACTACTACCATACTACTACAACAACTACTGCTACTACTGCCACCTACTGCTACTACTACCACCAACCACTACTACTACTACTACTACCACCACTACCGCCACAGCTACCACAACCAGTACCACTACCACTACTTTCTACAACCTACTACCTACTACCTACTGCCTAGTCAATACTTACTACCGACAACCTAGTACCTCCTACTACCTTCTACGACGACTACTACTACTACTACTACTACTGCTGCGACGACTATGACTACGACTGGACGAATAAGAACACCACGACTACCACCGCCACCAGTCGTACGGCTCCTTTGGTGCTTGCGACTAACCAGCCTGTACTGCGACTAGCTGCTAGTTACTAGACAGACCGATTAAGAAGGCACTACTACAAAAAAAACATTTGTGCTTCTTGAGTTGGTACACGGCATGCCTGCATCATATCCGAATCTCGTCTTGGTCGATGTGGCCATTCCCCTTAGTCTAACAGCAGCTAGCGTAATCGCATCACAAATAGCAAATCATCAGAAGCAAGGATAGACACCCACCCAGTCAAAAAAACAACCGCGCTCTTCCAAAATCATATTGGGAGAAAGGGCATGCAAGTCCAGACGTATCTGCTGAGGCAGAGGCCTCTGCGCAGCCGCAAGTCATGCATTGCCAGGTCTTAGCTGCTCGTTTGCACATATGCGAAGTACAGCAGAGCAGTCACCAAGGCAGGAACATGGTCCAGAAACTCTGTCTTTTTCTTCAGAAGATCCTTTTGCAGGGCCTTTTGCTGGACGACAGCCTGGGAGCCAGCGATCGCAGGTTCAGTTTTCAGCTGCCTGCACCCCGGCCTCTTGCACTTTGAAGTTGAGGCCTTTGACGAATGCGGTTGAGGCATTCACGAACGCGAAGAAGAGCAGCGTCATTCTGCCTGAACGCTTCAAATTCTGAAGACAGCACAGAGCACTCTTGAGTCAAAAGGGGCACCTTCAAGGCGGTCGGAAGGGAAGCAGGCTACCAGTAGCAGCTGTCTGAAAATGGCGACGGAACTTTCCAAGTATCACACACCCAGCCACGCCGCGTGCACTGCAGGTTGGGTTCTACCGGTGATGTTGAAATTAGATGTTCACTGCCGTGCAGGTTCTCCGGCACTAAAGACCTTTCTGACGATGCTGCCAAGTTCGGCGCAATTTGGACACCTTGGGGTGCGGCCATGGGTGGGCTCACCGGTGGATACAGGGGCCCGGGCCTTGGAAACACCCTCATTTGGACACTCCACGTCTAAGACAAGGCCGGGCCTCTCTGTCCTCAGCAGGGTAGTGAACCAGGGGTGTCATCGACGAAAGGATTTTCGGGATTCGCTGCTCAGAACAGAGGATTTGCGCTTTGAGCCCTCTCTGAAAAGATAGAGCTCGATGACTCGATGACACCCCCGATTGAAGTGGGCTGACGTCCCATCATCTCGATGGCACATGCAGCAGGCGTAGGCGGCGCTTGAAAAATCGCGTCACGCATCCGTACTTTCACCACCACGCCGCTAGAGCGTCAAATCGCATCACTGGGATCATGGATCCGTAGTGAGAATTAATGGGTTTAGGGTTGGTTTTAGGGTTTCGGACCTAAACCCTAGACACTCAAAACCAAACCGGTTGCGCCAAGCTTTGGATCCTCAGCCGTTCAGCAATAGGGCCTTAATCTAGATTTGGTGAGGGTTCCGGACCCAATGCATAAGAGGCTTTGCAGCCAAACTCCACCACCATTCGTGGAGAGTGAGGACAACGACTATATCCGACAGAACGGGCGGCAAGCAGTCCTAACGTTTGTACATGGCATTCTTAGTAGATCCTTTGGCAGGTTTTGCTTTAACGGCACAAAGGAAGAGCCATCGTAGCCTAATGTACGCTGCAAAGATCGTCTAGAACCTGAGGCTTTCCGGATGGTTGAGCTTGGGGAACGTGCCGGCGGAAGTTCGGACTGCTTACCCCGTTGTGCAGCTAGGGAGCTATGAGAAGACAGGTGCGATAACATCGGGCATTAGATGGTTAGATGCGACGAGGTTCCGGGCACTTTTCAGCTAGAGACTTCGAAAAGACTTCCTTCAAAAGCACCCACCATCTCCGGTCTGGAGGCCCAAAGATGGGCCTCGTAGCCGGGAGTTGAAGACTGCTGAGAGGTCGCAGCTGTTCGATTCCTGGTTCCTTGACCTGTAATCACTTCCGGGTGACTATGACCCGCATTAACCAGTACAGTACTAGCCCAAAGGTTAAGTTTCCTAAATAAGAGCCATAAGCCTCCCGGGTGCCCACACCTGCGTTCCCGCGCCCGATCACTAGTCAGTCTGCTCCATCAGGACAACAAACTCATCGAAGGTCAGCTCTGGCATCTCGCTCCTGGGCAGGCGGGCAACAGCGACCAGTGACTAGCCATAGTCGAAAGAGCCGCTCGAGCCCACGAGGCTGACCGCACCTACATGACCCGCTAAGATCCGTTAGACTCAGGTCACTCTCGAGGATAGGCTCGAGCACCACCTTCCAACCAGCGACGATCGCACGTGTTTGTGATGCTTCTATGTGATGCTGGAGTATTGAATAGTGCTTAACCGCATGTCGGCATCGAGCCAAGTGAGGTCTCAGGATGGCAAACTCAGGCTGGCTTTGCTTGGACTCTTGCAATCTTGCGGCAAGGATGTGGAAGGGTGGGAGAACGAAGATGAAGGGGTAAAGGGGTGAAAATGTGAGAAAAGGTGAGAAAAGGTGAGAATGCGGAGCAGCGAAGCCGAGCGAAGCCGGGGCCGGGCTCCCGGGCGCGTCTTGCTGGCCTCCTACGACAGCGATCTCCTGCGGCGCTGGGACCCCTAAGGCCTAAGAGAAAGCAGTTTAGCAGTTTTTAGCATTCCTTGCATTCCTCGGCTTAACTTCCTTCTCCTTTTGCCCTTTTGCGTTTCAGTGCAGCTGGCTTCGAACAAGTCTCTAATCGTGAGCTTTTACCTAAGGGCAATCCTCTATCTGGAATCCAGAAGACCGTGCCACGGAAGCCAGCTTTCCAGACCCACACGGGGGCATATATCGCTTTGAGATTCAAGGACTCAAGCATATGAGGCTTTAAAGACGGTTTAGACCATGCAGACCCCGCACCCCCGCTCCTCTCCGGCCAGTGCTCGAAACCCCACCCCAAACCTCGAACCCTTCAAGCCTAGCTCTAGAAAATCAACGGCACCTGCCACTCCGACTCGGTGATGGCGTTGCACATCACGCTCTTGACATCCTGTTTGTGAGCTTCGGGGAGCGGATGATGAGTTGCAGGAGTGGGGGGTTCTGAGCCTTTTGGAGAACTCTGATGCAAGAGTTCTTCAGTGATTCAAACGCCACAAGATCTGCGAGAGCGGCTTTATTGCCGAAGGCGTCACTTAAGCAGGTGTCCTGGCTGGATCGAGAGAGACAGGAAGCCCGAGAGCCGAAAGCAACGACGACGGCGCAAACCACGACAGCAGCAACACGGCATGATCAGCAGTGGCAGCAAGGACCACAAGGTTGACAGCAAGAAGAAGACCTGATGCTGCTTAGGTGGAGACAGAGCATCGATGGTAGTGAAGATAAACAGGAAAACGTAAATGAGGCACGACTGACTCTTGGGGCGGGCAGTGCAGATGGATAGTCATGGTAGTGGCAAAAAATGAACAACAGAAACATGTTTTCAACATTGCGTGCTGAAGGACCTCAGGCTACTATATAGTGATAAATGCAAGTACGCAATCATCGGCTCACACATAAAACTGAACACCGACATTGACGACCATCAAGACCTCACGTGTGAGAACCATAAAACACAAGCAACGAAAAAGATGACAGCGGTTGTGAGGATGAGAGTGACCAGGAAATTTGGTGACGATGAGATGCTGATGTTGGCAACTATGATTCTCGAGGTAGGGTGCGCCACATCACTGTTTGATGCTTGCTTACGTTGTCCTTTTTGGAAACGGCTTTTCGCCTGAAGTATGCTGAGTAACATGGCCAATCTGGTAAATACCATCAACCAGGGAAGGCAAAGTCCCTCCAACATCTCAATCCATACAACTACTAAATCCCAAGTGTCGAACCGGAACCCAAGGCCGAAGTCAGGTTTCAAGCGTAGACATTCAGGTTTCAGTATTTTGGCAATCGAGGGTGAGAGGTTCAGAAACATCTGAAACACAGCTGCCTGGTACGTGATTCGTCCGATGCCTTGCCTCAGAGATGCTTGGCTTCAGGAATCTTGGGTCCGAAGGCTTCAGGTTCAAAAACACAGAGATCCACAGCTGCAACCTCCAGCAATGGAGAGTTCCGTTCCGCGGATACACATGTGGACAGTCTTCCATTACGACCTTGAACAGTCTCGCTTGCTCAATGCTTCTTGTGACTCGAATCCGATCCGACCGGGAAGGCCCACGCGCACCACAAAGCTTGAGATAAGGACCAAGACTACTCAAAGCTGCCGCATTTGCAGCTCGGCACTTGCGACGTCTTCTTACAATCCAAGATCCCGGCTTGTCGAACTTCTTGAAGCACTCGAAAAGCTGTTGTCGGTCGAACTTCACCCGTCGCTCGATCAGCGCAGAGATGAACTCCTTTCATGTTTTTTCTACGGCTGTGGCAAAGAATTGAAAAAACCTACAACCCTTCGTTGAGCGCCGTTCTGCTTTAAGACCTGTGCTTGGGGAGACTCGGTCGGGAACTGGGTCATTCCTTGACTCAGGGTTTTCCCCTCATTCGAACTGCGCGCTTACGCATGGGTAGCCGTAGACTCCATAGACTGTAGACTGCACGCGGCAGCACCGGACCCAACAGCGCAGCCTAAAACTTGAATGGCTCAACCACATGCCATTGAGGCCTTAAGAACCACTCTCAAAATCCTGCTAAGAAGGCTTACTTGCCCTTGCTGTGCCTTGTAGCCGATGCGCTGGCTGCCGCTGCCGTCCAGGGCAGCCATCACCTGCTCCAGCTCCTTTTCACTCATCTCGTAACCTGCACTCGCTGATGGGGCCCAAGGCCCAAGCGGCGACTAGGCGTCTTTCCGTCTTATGCGTCTTGGACATGTTTGGATGGGCGGTTTGCAGTTTGGTCACCAAGCGAGGACAAGACTTTCGAGGTTGCCTGCAGACTGCTCTCCATCACTAACCGAGCACCAAACTGTTAAACGCAGGACCCATCTCTCACTCACCCTCATCCTGCCAACAAGGAAAACTCACTGCTGCTGCTTTGCCAGGAGAAAGGGCTCTGAGGCTCCCACCGACGTGCCGCATTCCTTCGACTAACTCCTGGTTGCCACTTCAGGGCTCAGACGGTTTGTGCCTTGTTGTGGCCTCGAGGTTTTGCACTTTAGACTCGAGGTCTTGGTACGAGGACGACTCTTGGGGGTTGTGGGAATTATTAGATCTAAAGCAGAAAGACTTCTTTTGACTTGGCATCACCATATGTCCTCGGGAGAGAGGAGCCCATCTCCATGGGTGTCCAGGGCCATGAACTTGGCCCTTAGCTCCTGACCGTGCATGCGCTAGGAACACACGCACCAAGATCATGGGTTTGAGGCCAGAAGGTCCGTACCATCCGCCGCCCCACCTGGATCTGGAACTCACTGAGCTCTCGAGTGAGCAGCTGGAGAACGGCCCGCTTCAGCTTGTTGTAAGCCTTCGATGGGGGCTCACATCTCATGGCAGTTCTTAAAGGATTCCCCTCAAGCTTTCAGGCTGGAGTGTTCGAGGGCTGCGGCGGGGGAGAACATGCTCCCCGCGCATCTGCGGTCATCTAACACGAGCGATTGCGGTGATTGTGAAATGCTAAGACTCAGGACGCAGAAAGTACCGCAGATTCCTGAGCTGCGCAAACAGTTCAGAACTCAAAGAAGTCTGCTCGGGTTGCTTGATCAGTCTTACATGCCTCTTTTGAGCATTCGTCTATGGGCACGTAAGTCTTTCGATGGGTCACGTCTCAATGGCTCCAACGGTTCAACTCTGGTGATGGGTGCCTGGTACTGCTTCAGGCCGTCGAAGATTGAAACCTCGTGAACAGGATCGGACGCGGAGGTCGGCGGTGTGCTGTGTGCTAGTCGTTTGCAGGAAGGTGGCAGTTGATCGAAACAAAATCCTAAAACTCGCTCATGGGGATGAATACCACACGAACGTCATATGCGACTTCCGAGTGTGTCGTGAGCCACTACACCGCTCCGCTTAGACGCCTGTAGGCGCCGCGCACACTTTCGCCCGTCTCACTGAACAGGTTTCCAATTTAGGGCCAGTTGGCGCAGAAATCTGCGGCAGCTTGTTTTAGGGTAGGCTTGAAACCCGGACCCTGGAGGCGACATCAACAGCAACCCTCCTGATCTCCTGAAATCCTGCCATGCCTCGCAGATCCCAAGACTCTCTCACCGCACCAGTCTCTCACCTCCGGATGACCTCATGATGTCATGATGCTGCTCTGAGCTTCTGGATTTTGTGCAAAGGTCTGAGCCTCTGGCACTCAGGCCCTCCACATTTCCAAAGGGCGAGGGCTTCGACGGGTCCCGAAACCTGCTACGTCCAGCCATGGTACGAGCAGCCGATCCGGAATCCAGGGTTGAAGGACTTACGCTTCGGGGCCACAGCTTCTTTCAATTTGCCGTAGATCACAAGGCGAAGCTTCAGGCTTGTCTAAGGGTGCGCATGTCCAGGGACGACAAAGGTGCAGCCATTCCCTCAGCTACAAGTACGACATTGTGACCGCACGACCACCTCGGCTATGAACCTGAGTCGACACAGCGTGCTGCTTAAGTGTTCTCTTGCGCTCCTCGATATCCCCCGAGCACCGGAGACCTAAGATGTAACCTGATGCTTGAACAGTCGCACCCATTCCTCTTGGTGGCTGTGAGTTTCTCAGCGTGACCCCTTTTCTCACAGTTTGTGTGAAAGATCCTGCAAGTGTTGCTCAAAGCCCTCCCCAAAACAGCTCCAGCTCGGCTCTCAGAGAAAGCACTCATCGAACTCTCGATGCCCCCCGTTCACGTGCCTCGAAACAGTTGGGACATCACGGCACAGAGGCACTTTCGGCTTTCTACTCCGAACCGCCCCTCTGTAACGAACGTCGTTCGGCCTCAAACTGCTACCTTCTGTCTCTGAAGCAATAACAATGCTTACAAGATGAGGCAAGGAATTCTAGGGTTGGCAAGCCTAATGCAGGTCGGCCGGACCATTCGTGGGCCAAGGCCTGTGCTGCCGAGAGCCTCTTGCTACTCTGCTTCTCCAACAGCTTCCTGCCTGAGAGACAGGGCGAGAAGCTCTCAGGAATTGAAGTGTTGATTGGTTTGGCAGGCATTGTGCCACAAGCCGACCCAGGATAGCAAACAACAGAAGCGACCTCGGTCAAATGCTCACCTAAACAGCGGTCAAGGCTTGCTGTTGGGGTTCGGTGGTAGCCGCAGTAGCATCGGCAATGTTAGTTGCTAGCACTATCAAACGCAGTTGCCCTCGTATCTGCAGCCAGGCTGCACAGGTCACAAGCTGCATGCGAGACTTGTGCCCAGATCTCAGTCGGAAACCTCGGCCGAAGAACAGAAGATTGAGTCGCGATTAGGATTCCGGGACTTCAAAAGGCATGGGCGGAGGCCCTGGATTTTACTGCCGGAGTTTATAACTGTATATCTGTAGTAGATAGCGTTGGGTTCTCAGCCTGAGCTTTGGCACATGTGGACACATTGCGGCAGGGCTCCACTGACTGGTTCGACAACCCATTCCCACCAAGCGTCTGCCATTCCTACCACCTTGAGTAACGTGAATCTCACACTCGAAAACGTCTGAGCCGAGGCCGGAACTGGACCGGATCCGGGTTGGAGATCTTGGCACGAACGGCCCTGGGCTGGGGAGGCTAGCCTTTCGGGCCCCTTCGTGGTGAGGTGAAGGGCCCAAAACCCCTGAACGTTGCCACTTTCAGGTGTGAAATGCGCTCATGTCGGAAAGTGCCATCTGTGAGGCGGAGCCCAGGCCCCAGCCCAAGCTTTCGAAGAGCGAACGACGGGCGACTCGACCAATCTGCACTGCCGAGCACGGGGACTGACGCCCAACCAACACCCGCCCAAGTGCAAGCCTCGCTTCGGACTTCGGACTTGGGAGTACCCTTGTGTTTGCTCAAGCCGCAAAGATGGTTGCCACAAGCACTTCACGACCTAAAGCCATGAGGGACCAGGGACAGGGGCCTTGTTGCTGTTGCCGAATGGCGACAGCCTTCAGAAGCTGTCTCACCTACTGGTATTACTTGGCGTGACTCCAGCTGGGGACGCTGCGTCTCATCATCGCCTGGCGTGTAAAAAGGGTGCCAACCTCAGATGCAGTGTATGGAAGCATGGGATGGGATTCATGCCCCGATACAAACACCAAGCTAGAGAAACTCTTCTGCCAACCCAAAGCTGACCCGTTCACCTTACCTCACCTTACCTCACCATGCTAAAAACCACAGCCAACACCGTAGCCTTTCGCGCGCAAGATTGGACCACCCCCGAAGCCAGAAGTGTGTCGAGAACAGCCTGGCTCGGGCCTGGCCTATGAATTAACTTTCGAACCTTAGGCCTTCAATCTCGGTATGACTCGCTCTTGAGGATCGAGCCGGTGAAAAGCTGACAGAGAATGATTCCAATACCTTTGGGCAGCGTGGTGGCTAGACCACTCAGCACTCACAGCTACGGTGCTTGGACGTTGAATGAGGGATTCTTCTTCTGAGCCGAGAAGTGGTGGTTCCTAGGGGACTTCTCTAGCTGACCGCAGGCTCTGGCTCTACGACGCAGCCCGCAGCTGCCACTGCAGCTTCCCAAACGCTCCAGGCCCAAATGGATTCTGCATTGTGAGCCGGATTTCAGTTGAACTGCGATATTGTACCTAGTTTGACAATGCTAGAAGCTTTAAGGAGTCAGGATCTTTAGCAGCTCCGTGTCGCTTGGAGTCGCACCAAGATTTTGGAACAAGGTGCAAGTGGTGCTGCTTTCGAAATTTCAGGTAAACTGTCTTGCGTAGGCCAGTCCCCAACACGCCAGTGCCGCCAAGGCATAAAATCTATCAGCACCCCTCGGGAAGCCTGAATCCTGTCAAGCTGCCTAAACTTGCCGCACTTCCTCCGTAGGGTTAAGGCGGCTGTCATCTTTCGAAAAGCATGCTTTTTCCTGTCGGTGGCGTTTGCGAATTCGTCGATGTTCTGATCAGCACGGCTATTGCTCCTCTGCCGAAACGTCCCTCAATTAACCTCTGGCTGGATTCGTTCTTTCCACATTTTCCTAGCGCTTGACGAACTCACGAATACACCAACATAAACAACTTCAGCAATGGATCTCGAATTTCCTCATTTCTACCCTGAGCACATCTTGACTTCCTCAAGAGCCGTAGCTACTTACAACTTGCAACTTCCAAAGTCAAGGAAACCATCAAAAACCCGTACGGCCTCGATGAAACCCTAGCCCTAGCGGGACTAGGAGAACTCAGTGCCGCGCTAAAAAGGTCGGCCTTGTGGTCGTAAGACCTTTGGCTCCACTAATTCCCTAGCAATGAGGCTTGCCAGGAAGCAACAGCTTAAATGGCGCAGGGACTCAGTGTCCAGAGCGCAAGAGGACGCTTGGAGTGCACGGCTTTTAGGGTTCAGTTCCTGAGCCTGTGGTGCCAGTGGCCGTTGAGTTTGAGTTGCACAGATTTGGAAACGACAGGGTGATTGTAACCCGTGGCGGCTCTGCTTACTACGTGATGTCCTCCCTGGACTTCCATAAAGGCTAGCGGCTCCTCAACGTTGTTCCAGGCTTCTGCCATGTCAGGCTCCAGGAGTGTCCAGAGCACTGAGAGGTCTTGGGACCACGAGGGAAAGGCGTGGGCTGCTCTTCTGCCGCCTTTCGACCACATGGTATCGGCTTTCTTTTGAGTTTTCTTGTCGACCTTTCGTGAAGAATTTTCAGAACTGAATCCGCTTGGACTTCGGGGAACTCGCGGCTTCCGGTCTTGGAAATTGGATGAAATTTGGCTTCAGGCTTCGCTTCGACGACTTTTCATCGTGCAAGGGCTCAGTGCTTTGCACATCAAGTCACTGGTGGCTCTATGGAACCTCCCCTGTATGCTCCGAGAATGTTGTCGCGACCCTGTGGCATGGTTTGGCATTCAAAGCCGCGAGTCCTAGATCCTGGAACCTGCAGCAATCCGTCTGATATCCGAGTTTGGGAACCAGAACAACATCTGATGGCTCGAAGTCGAGTTCGTGGGAGAGGACTTATCATAGCATAAGGTGGCGACCCTTCGATCATCTCGGGCGCCATGTAGTGCGGCGTACCGGCCTTCTGCATGACCTGAGACAGCAACTCGAGTCTCGTGTCGGCTTAGGCCAGCCCGTTTTTGAGTGGCGGCACAAGCTCTCCGGACCGGTGCGACTTTCGCGACACAACTCCCTGCACTCTACCCAGCATGTGGTGTGGTTCCCACCACAACGAAGGCAAAAGGTCAAAAGGTGGAAAGCGCGAGAACCGGAACAGCTGGACCCAAAACCAATGCCCTCAGAACCGGTTCTCGGGGGCCGACGCGCTTCCGTTCATGCCAAGGAATCAAATGTCGGCCGTTGACGGATGGCCTCGGCTGGTTTCGCATGGCTCTGGGCTTGGCTTTAGGAGTCTCGAGTGAGGCCGGATTGCCGGTAGTGAAAGACACGAACTGGAATTGTTG